TTGTTTCCAACCTAATCAAGAAGAAATCTTTAATTTGCTTTTCCAGTACTGCTGAGCAGCAATAAAAATCCACATTATAGACTCTGACCCAAATATTTCTTTCAACCCATATGACTAAAGAAGAAATGAAGAGACCAACCACTGAGTTTAAGCATCCTATGGCTAGATTCTTTCCAATTAGAGAATTTTAAACTTTGCTCTCCAAAAGAATAAAATGTGTCCCAAACTGCAAATCATCCTCCTTATGTTGTACTTACATTTTATGTTCCTTGTCTTGGTAGCATCTATGAAACAATTTGATGTCTGAGACGTGTCTTGCTTCCACCAATGATGGAACATGGTCGCCTTCTCTCTCCTATGATGGAGGTTTATTGGAATAAAAACATAATGCCTGAAGGGATTATAATTTCCTTAATCCTGTCAGATGATTGCAGGTTAGCACCAACAGTAGGGTTCAAGAAAAGTTATGTTTTCTAAAGCTCTTCTGGGAAAGACACTTAAAACTTAACTTACTCCAAAATGAACGCATTATTTTTCTTCTAATCTTTTGATACTCTGGGTGCTCTCTTGGGGGTTGAGAGCAATTACATTGAGTTATCCAAGCCTGAAACCAGAACCAGAAACATTTGTAGACTTTCCCTCTCTAAATCTTTGTCCCAGATCTTATTATTAATCGATTGTCTATCTCCCATTCTTGACTTTCAACTTGGGAAGGATAGACACAGTTATTATCTGTTTATCTTTGCAATACAGTCCCTCATGAATAGTATGTATTTTGTTAATACCACAAATGAAAATTCACTTGTTTTTGTGTTGAGCAAATAAACCTGGTTAACATTAGTTGATTGAGGTTGAAGGGAAAGTTGAATTTTAATCTCCTGTTTCAAAGGTTTTATTTTGACTTATTTTGTATCTTAATAAGACAAAAATCATGTAGGGTGCCTAACAAGATATAAATAATATACAAGATTTTAGAATCAAAAGCAAGTTTAGAAATACTTTCCAACTTACAGGATAAAGCAAACAATTTTTCATTTGCAGTTTAAAAAAAAGGAGCAGTGAGGTAGTTTGCCACAGTCTGGCTGGGCACAATTCAGGAGCCACTTATCAAGCAGAAATGAACTTTATTTTTAGAACACACGCCACACCACACAAGCTCTTCAGGAATTCCCTCAGAGCCCAACTGCCACCACTGGCTTCCCACAAACCTCTCAACCCCCCCACTCCTCCTGCTCTTGAGGCCGATTGGCTGGGTCACGTGGGCGGAGCCAAAAAATGTCCCCCAGTGAGCAGCTCTGTGGTCTGAAAGGGCGGGGAAACAACCCAATGAGCATCACCACAGAGGAGCCAATCATCAGCTGGCAGCTGGAAGTTTGCTGGGGCTGCTGGGAGCCAATCATGAGCTGGCAGCTGGAAGTTTGCTGGCAGCTGGAAGTTTGCTGGGGCCCCTTCGGCTGTGGCTCTCAACAGTAGTTAGTTGGGCCCTGAATAGAACTGACTTCCTTTGAGTTTCCCCAGAGTCAAGTGTTGATAACAGAACATCTTTATATACAAATTAAAAATTATTAGGTAGAACTTATGGTCTGATAAAAAGCTCAAATTTTGACTGGCTAAGTTAATGTTATGAACATTTCAATATTGCAATTCAAAGAGGATAAGTCCAGGTTTCTTTTCTGGGACATTAAAAAGCACTTTTGAGGATATTCAAGAATATAATAGGTGAAATAGCAGGAAAAAGTTATAGAAAAAGTTATATAGTCTTTCATTTGTTACTTTTGACAAGCTAACCCAAGTAATAAGAGGTAAGGTAGTTTTTCTAATAATGCATGCTTCACTAGTTATAATTGAGTTAATCTGTTCTCATCTCCAGCATGTTAGCTGCCAAGGATTTTAACAATCACAATGCATAGGAGGATTCAGAAAGCTATATCCTGTTAAGTTGGTTAATGAAGTAAAGTGTTAGGAGATATGTTTTCTCATGTGGGAAAAACACTTGGCAAACTTTCTTTGGTTAGGATATGACATTTGTTTGTTTATTATTTTTAAAAGACTTACATAGAAGAAATCTTATCATCTCTTTACCTGCTGTATTTTAGTCTTTCTTTGCTGGTATCAATAGTAGTTTACTGAAAATGTACTCATTAATCGAAGACAATTTGGACAATAAAGGAGCAAGGAGTATTTTGATACCTGTTGAGATGCCCCTGCAAAAAGCTCATGTACAAGAAGGTTTAGAGTCTTAACCCAATCTGTAAATTAATCCCCACCATGGGATTAATTGAGTGTTAAATGTAGGTGGGTAGGGTGTGGCTGGAGGAGGTAGGTACTGGGTGCATGGCTTTGGTATATGTTTTGTATTTGGTATATATTTTGAATCCGCTTCTTGATCATCATGTGAGCTGCTTTTCTCCACTGTATTCTTCCACCATGTTGTTCTGCCTCACCTCGAGCCACAAAAAATGGAGCTGGCTATGTATGGATTGAGCCCTCTGAAACTGTGAGTCCCTAAAAAACTTTACCTCCTCTAAAATTGTTCTTCTCAGGTCTTTTAATTACAGCAGCCAAAAAGGCTGACTAAAATAGAAACTGATACTGAGAAATAGGGTTTTGCTATGACTAACCTGACTGTGTGGTTCATAAGCCTTTGGAGCTTTATTGGAATTGGTGGGAGGAATTCTAAAATGTTCAGCTGTGCAAGCTGGAAATGTTTTAGGTTGTTGTAAACAGAGCTTAATGGCCGATTCTGGTGGGAGATCAGAAGACCAGAATGCCAATAGGACTCTAGACAGTGAAGACAGGGCTCAAGAGGGTTTCAAGGAAAAGGAGGGCACTATTGGTAATTGGACTAGAGGACATTTGTATTGTGTTCTGGCTGAGTAGTTGTCTGCATTTTGCTCATGTTCTGAGACTGTGAGGATGATTTTAAAAGTGATGGACTTCTTAATCTGGAAAATAAATATCTAGGAAGCATAGCATTCAGGCAGTGGCATTGATATTGCTGGTGGCTTTAGCCAAATTTATTATGATAATCAGGAGCAGAAAGCAGAGCAGAAAGATTTGAAAAACTTGGGCTTGAAAGGTAGGGGTAAAACTGAGGCTAAGAAAGTTGCAGTTAAAGACATTACTGCCACTAAAGAAATGCTAAAGACTTTGCCAGTAAGAAAGACAATAAGAAAAATGGCTTGAGGGTAGTATCTCAGGAATTGGTAAAATCGTATCCATCTCAGACTCAAAGAACTAAAAAATTCTCTTGAGAAGAGTGGGGTACCCTTCTTTCACAGGGGGCCCGGGGAAATTTTTTTCAACATGCTTAGCCATGCAGACACTCAGAGGTTGCTGCAGCCAGGATATCTGGAGGCTTGACTACTGCTCGAGATGGCAGCAGACCTTGGCATCAACCACATGGTGCTGGTTCTGCAGGAATGCAGAAAGCTGGAGTTAGGGGGTCATGGAGGCTTCAACCAAGATTTCAAAGGAAGGCCAGGAAGGACAGGCAAAGTGCAGCAGGGTCAGAGAGTCCTTGAGGTAGCCCCTGAGAGGGCAAAACATGGAAATGTGAGGAAGAAGCCGAAGCTGCAGTGGAGATCCTTCAAGATTAAGGAATGACAGTAACATGGGACATCATCTTAGGAAAGCTGCAGGAATTGAGCGGAGACAAGCCAACAGGCCACAAGTGTGGAGCTACACAAGCCCTTTGAATAGAACTTCATTGTTCCATGAGCTCCAGATGCTGGACTTGGAGCTATAGGACTTGTTTGCCCAGCTGCATTTCATCTTGTTTCTATAACCCTATTTTAGTGAATGAAAATGTTTACTCTGTACCTTTATATATTGGATACTTATAAATCACCTTTGCTTTTATTGGAGCTCATGATTACAAGGTTGCCTTGAATCTCAGAGGAGTCTTTGGTCTTAAACTTTTGGGCAATCATGAAATTTTCGAGACTATGGAAACTCTTGGAAATGGACTAAATGTATTTTTTTTCTGATGAGATGGTCATAAGGTTTGGGGACTGGGGGTGAAATGGTTATAATTTGGATGTGAAGTACCCCCTAAAAGCTCATGTGTGAGACGATGCAAGAAGGTTTAGAGGAGAAATGATTATTTTTTGAGAATCTTAACCCAATTGGCAAATCAATCCCCATGATGGGATTAACTGAGAGGTAACTGAAAGTGGGTAGGGTGTAGCTGGAAGAGGTGGGTCCTTGGTGGCCTGGCTTTGGTATATATTTTGTATATATATTTTCATATATTTTCTCTCTATTTTTTGATCATACATAAGCTGCTTTCTTTCACCATGTTGTGTTCTGCCTCACCTAGAACCCCAAGGAATGGAGCCAGCTGTCTATGAACTAAGACCATTGAAACCGTGAGCCCCTAAATAAACTTTTCCTCCTCTAAAATTGTTCTTTTCAGGTCTCTTAGTCACAGCAGTGAAAAATCTGACTAAAACAATACCAATGGAATCTCTACTAAAGTACCACGTGTGCTGGTGTCTAGACTTACATATTGCAACAATCTCATTGGGTAGGTATTAGTATTTTCACTTTAGAGATGAGAAAGACGAGGCTTATGAATGTTGAATAAATTAGAAGCTAGGATACAAGGTGAAACAGTCCACATCCAACTGCAGGTTTGTCTCAATTCAAAGCTCATTTTCTAACCACTCCCTGTTTTGCCACTTTTCATTCTACCACTGCCCCACGGAATGCTCTACTTTATGTTCTATCTTGGATTTTGGTTGAGGTGCATGGAAAATGGCATCTACAGAACATCATAACATAAAATGAGTTTTTCTTGCTATTATAAATAATGTTTTCTACTACAAGAGTAAATCAGTAAAAACAAACAAACAAAAAAATCGATCAGGCGCCCTCTCCCTGGTCCACCACTGCTGCTCATTCTTCTTCTGCAGCTCCTGGAGCTGCTTGTGTGATCTTTGGTGCGGATCTGGTACCTCTTTTGTGAAGTGGCAGCTGAGGAGACTCCGGCAGTCTCCATGGCCCATGAAAAGCCCAAGGAAGGAGTCAAGACTGAGAACAATGATCATATTAATTTGAAAGTGGCGGTGCAGTTTAATATTAAGACCACTTAGTAAACAAATGAAAGTATATAGTGAATGATAGGATTTGTCTATGAGGCAGATCATATTCTGATTTGATTGGCAGCCAATTAATGAAACAGGCACACCTGTACAGTTGTAAATGGAGGATGAAGATACAATTGATGTGTTCCAGCAGCAGACAGGAGGTGTCTACTAAAAAGAGAACCTGCTACTTTACTCCAGAACTCTGTTCTTATAGACCAAGAATACATTCTCAATTAGAAAACTGCAATTTGATTCCACCACATCCTGACTACTACAGCATAGTTTTCTCCATTCTTTCATTTTCCCCTTCCCATTTTTTATTGTATATAAAGTAACTGATGTGTGTGCACAAGCATACTGCATTTTTTTACACTAAAAAGCCAATGATATGTTTTGATTGACATCAAATGGAGATGAGATGGGGAAAAATACTAGTTCTGTGAAAATATCCCCTTTCTCCATTAGTGGTAAGCTCATTCAGCCTTATCTTTATATTCCAGTAAGTTATTTTGCTCTCACTGTTTTAGCAAAAAACAAACAACAACAACAAAAAACCTGAACAACATAAAAATCCTTGCTTACCTTGTTCAATTGGAGAATTTTAATGTTTTTCATTGTAAAACCAAGCACAATTTTATAACTTTTTTGTACATAGCTGTGACATGTAGGGTTAAGTTGGAGTAAATTACTCTTTAAAAAAAAAGATTCCTAGATAGTTTTCCCTTCAAGTCAAGTGTCTTGTTGTTCAAATAAACTTCTTGTTTAAAATGAAAAAAAATTGATCAGGTAGAATTGTTCTTCCTTGATAATTGCTGTTCTTATTGGAATGAGATGGAATCTCAATGTAGTTTAGATTTGCATTCCCTGATGGCCAAAGATGTTGGATGTTTTTTTCAAATCAAAATGAAAATGTAATTCTTAATCTGTGCATTTATTAAACAGATTATTTGATTTTTTGGTATTGAGTTTTTGAGTTCTTTATATATTCTGGATATTAATCCTCTGTGAGACAAGTAGCTGTCAAAGGTTTTCTCCCATTTTATAGTCTTCATTTTATCTATTAGTTGTTTCCTTTGCCATACAGAAATTTTAATCTGATGACATTTCATTTATTGATTCTTGGTTTTATTTCCTGAGATATAGGAGTCCTATTCCGAAAGTCATTGTTGTACTTATGTGTTGGAATGCTGACCTCATGTTTCTTCTATGAGTTGGGAAATTTATCATCTTATACCTTGGCCTTGGATTCAATTTTAGTTGAGTTTTATATGGGGCAAAACATAGAGATCTAGTTTCATTCTTTTATGTATGACTATCTAGTTTTCCTAGAACCATTTGTTAAAGAGGTGTCTATTCTCATACACATATTTCTGTTGCCTTTGTTGAGAATCAGATGACTGTAGCTATATAGGTTTGTCTCAGTATCATCTATTCCATTCCATTAATCTATGCTTCTGCTTTTATGCCAGTATCATACTTTTTTTTATTACTGTGACTCAGTAATATTATTTGGGATCTGGTACTGTGATGCTTCCAGCATTGCTCTTTTTGCTCAAGTTCATTTTGGGTCTTTTATTTTTCCCCATGAATTTTAGGATTTTTTTTCCCTAGTTTTGTAAAGAATGCTTTTGGTATTTTTATGGGGATTGCATTGCATCTTTACATCACTTTTGGTAGTATAAAGATTTTAATTATATAAATTTCACCTATCCATGGACATGAGAAATCATTCCATGCTCTGGTGTCTTTTCAATAATTTTTATTGTAGAGGTATTTAACCTCTTTGCTTAGGATTATTCCTAGGTATTTTACTTTTTAAAAGGCATTGTGAATGGAATTATTTCCCCGATTTCTTTCTTACTTGTTGTATAGAAATACAATTGATTTTTGTGTGTCGATTTTGTATCCTGCTACTTTCTGAATTTGTTTATTAGATCTAGAAGTCTTATGATGCAGCCTTCAAGGTCTTCTAAATGTAGGATCATATTACCTGCTGATATGGATAATTTGACTTATTCCTTTCATATTTGTTTCCTATTTATTTTTCTCTTGCCTAATTATTCTGGCTAAAATAATCAAGAATACAATAATAATAAATGCTGGTAAGTGCTGGGGGAGAAAGAACTCTTATAGATTGTTGGTGAGAATGTAAATTGATACAGCCACTATGGAAAATAATATGGCAGTTTCTAAAAAACTAAAAATTTAACTACCATATGATCCAGATATAGAAGTCCTTAGTATTTATCCAGAAGAATTAAAGTCAGCATACTTTAGAAATACATTTGTATCCGTGTGTATCACAGCACAATTCACAATAAACAAGTTGTAGAACCAGTCCAGGATTCCATCAATAAAAAAAGATGCATAAAGAAAATGTGGTATTTGTACACAATGAAGTGTTATACAGTCATACAGAAGAATGAAATTTTCAGGAAAACATGGATCCGAAAAACATCAGGTTAAGCAAAATGACCAGAATCAGAAAGACAAGTGTCTTACGTTCTCTCTCATATGTGGAAGCCAAGGATGAAAAGAAAGAAAGAAAAAGGGATGTCATGTAAGTAAAGGAAATCATTGGGGTAGAGAAAGGGATAAGAAGGATGGTTGAGGGAAAGTTAAAGGGAGGTATTAGGGAGTGAAATTGCTCAAATTATGTTATATGTATATAAAACTATACCACAATGAAATTTGCTGCTTTGTATTTTGAATATACACCAATAAAATAAATAATTCTTCCTCTTTGCCCCCAAATTTAATGAAGTTTTATTGTATACAAAACTAATAGACAAAATTTTATAAGCGGTTAAAATAAAAAGAATTATTTTTTGAATTGTTTATTAGATCTAGAAGTCTTCTGATGCAGCCTTCAAGGTCTTCTAAATGAATAGGTTTTTTCAAAAGTTTAATCCAGAGCAGCATGATATACCCATACAAATAAGCAATTAGGAGCACTAAAGGAATACCACTTGGATTTTAGTATATGCATCTCTTGTATGCATCCAAGAAAAATAAAGAGTAAATGTAGTCGACATTACTTCTCCTTCACCTTTAGTTCTTCCCTATCTCCAAGGGATCTACCAAGGCTACTAGCAAAGGTTTCCCTGGTCCTTTGAGCTCATCATTCAGTTTCATGGTTAGCAACCAAATGGGGCAGTTTATGTATCTGCTTCATTATTACAGAGCTAGCTGCAACTTGATCAGAATGGAAATTTATTTCTTTTTCTAGGGCAGCAAATGGATAAAACATCATCTAATTTAAATCAGGAGAAAAATTAATTTAAAAAAGTCATCAGAAAACAGAAAGAATAATATACTTAAATGAAAAATTCAAAACCATTTATCTAAGACTGAGAAGATATTAGTGACACATGCTTAATCATGATTTGTATAATTTTATTCAAAATAAACAGTCCTACCATGTCTGGAAGTTACCCATTGTAATTGCTTTTTGTTTTCAAAATTTAACAATCATATCCAATATAGAAATTACTACAGAAATTTAAGTAATGTGGATATTATTTTAATTTTCAGAGTACTCATTCTGAATCAAGGTAGCATATTATAAGCCTATATTTCTTTGAGTCAACATTCTTATCTGAATTGTAAGGAAATCTATCTTAAGGCCACAAAGGGAAATCAACCATGTTGATGGTTTATGCTTAAGTAGCATTCTTATATGGCTTTATATGAAGTATACTATAAATATCCATTTTCTCATGGGCAATTGTTAACATACACTCAGTTTATATGTTGTTTAGTAAAATAAATTATAAAATAACATTTCTCTAGAACCTAGTATAGTCTTTGATAATGTAAAGCTAGTTCTTCAATTTTTTATTTATTAATTCACACAGTACAAATCTATACACCCATGTCTACATCACTATAAATTTTAGAAAATAATAATAAAAACTAAAGGTTTTCAAAATATTAGGAAAGGTGCTTTAAGTTATTCTTCCAGATTTCATGTGGAAATTACTCTTTTGGGTAATTGGTTTTTGAAATACTAAGAAAAAAAATGTGCCTGTATTCTTACAAAATAACACAAAACTTTAAAAAATGTTCAATATATACGTCATGTTGTATCCTAAAGTTTGAGAATTGACACGTCAAAAACTTCTTTTCCCAAATTTCCCAATACAAAAGGAAGAGTGAGAGAGTTGTCAAAGAATGTATCTATTAGGCAGCGCAGTGAAAGTTTCTTTTCCCTAAGGCAAAGCGAGGAGTGGAGAACACATATATTTTTTTCTCTACTCCAAATTTGAGTGGGAGACTGCTTAATGGTCATTCTGGATTTATCATACTACTATGGAAACAGGAAAATATACCATATTAATGATTTTGACAATCTAGGAGAAATGGGATTGTTACAACCAAATGGACACCTGGCAGGGGTGGAGTTGGAAGGGCGAGATGTGTGCCTGAGGGCTTTTCATTTCACAGCTAGTAAAGTTAACACAGGATTATTGTATACCACACAGAGTTTCTCACATGAGGAATAAAGATTTGAATTACCCCACCAGAGGAAAGAGTCAACCATTGAGGCTCTAGGTGAAGGTATCGATTATACTTAGAACAACTCTTGGAAACGAGAGCTATAGTCTGTATCTGTATATGCTTAATGTGTTTCCCATTACTTTTCTTTCTTTCATGTAGGTTATGTTTAGTTTTTTTTCCCCAAAGATTGCGGACTATTGGGAAGATAACTGGCAAGGAACTGTGTGAATAAATATTTCTTTGAGGTTCAAGATTTGGGAAACAGAAGCCCTATAACATTACACAGAACATTCATTTATTGATGTATAAAAAATTCTAAGAAAAATAAACTCTTCATGTTGCTAAGTATAGAAATAAACTCTCTAGGTTGCTAAGTATAAAAATACCAGATACAGAAAAATACAAAAAGTGTTCATATTGAAACAATTATCAGGCACAGAGAATTTTCGATCTCAATAATGATTTTTTCTCTTGTTAATGTTAGATTGGTTGTAACAAACCGATAAAATCAGAAGCAAGTTGGGGCATGGTATTGCTAGGAAGTAGCAGTGGATACTGGTCTTTAAATCATGATATCCTGTTGCATATGTAAAACAAACTTCCTGGCTGGTACTCAATGGTCATCCTAAAGAAACTGCTTAAAGAGGGTGCTTTCTTCTTATCCAGAATGCCTTTATAGTAGGGTGAATCTCCTTTTGGGGGCCTTCTTTTTTGAGCTGTCATTAAATACACATTTCCAATATCCAAATAAATAAAGAAAAAGTAAGCAAAATACATCTTCCTGATGAGTTCAGATATTTTTATCT